CTCCGGTTTCTTTGTCAGCTTCAAGACCATCCCCACTTACCTGCAATGGAGCTCGTACCTCTCTTATGTCAGGTCAGTGCCCCTCCCCTCCCCATGTGCCCCTGCTCCTCCCTGCAGGAGTTCACGCCCCAAGGGTGAGAGATTGCACCTGGACTTTGGCGGTTTGCCTAGGGAGCAGGGACCTTATGCTCTGTGTCCTGCTCTCATGCCCCTGCTTGCCTAGGTATGGCTTTGAGGGTGTGATTCTGACCATCTATGGCATGGAGCGAGGAGACCTGACCTGCTTGGAGGAACGCTGCCCTTTCCGGGAGCCACAGAGCATCCTCCGAGCACTGGATGTGGAGGACTCCAAGCTGTACGTGGACTTCCTGGTCTTGGGCATCTTCTTCCTGGCCCTACGGCTGCTGGCCTACCTTGTGCTCCGTTACCGGGTCAAGTCGGAGAGATAGAGCTTTGCCCTGGCCTGCGCCCCAGCCCCCGCAGCAGGAAGCCCCCAGCCCCAGGCCTCTGGGACTGTTTTAACCTTGTAGACTTGGGCACTGGTTGCTGGTGCAGCCGCCCTCCCTTCTCTCAGCTCCTCCACAGGCTGGCTGTCAGACTGCGCCCCAAGCCTTGGCCCTGGGGATGGGGGTGCTAGGGCCTCCCTTCCACGCCCTGGAGTTTTCTCAAGTTGATGCGGTTTGTAGCTTCCTCCCTACTCTCTCCAATGTCTGCATGCGGAGACCACTAGGAGGCCGCCACCCTCCTTCCTGCCCTCGGCACCCTCCTCTGTCGTCTGCCTGGGAGCCCCAGGCTCTCCAGGCCCCCTCTTACAACTGACCAAAGTGACCCCCTCTGGGGGTCCCCACCACACAAGTATTTGTAAACTGGGCTGTTATAAGGTTGAGGTTCCAGGGCTGGGCCCTGGCAGGGTCCCCTGGATGTCCCATTTGGACATTGGAACAGAGCAGGGAAGGGCTCTGGAAGTTTCTTTCTCCTCACCTCTCCCTGCCCCCAGACCTGGGCTGATTTGGACAATCTGTTGGGACAGAAGCTGGGTTTTCTGTCTGGGTCATCCCTCCCAATCCTGGGGATTGGAGAGGCCTGGCGCCATGGGCTGTCCCTGACACCTCCCTGTCACCTCTGGTGGGGGCCGGGCCTGTGGCATCTCTGCAATAATGTCTGTGTATCTCTCCCACCTGCCTCTGAAACTGGAGATCGCACTTTATCCTGGGGGGTGAGTAGGAGAAGACCCGAGCCTCCTTTCTCGCTGCTCACCAGTCCTGCAATGCTCCCTCCCCTCTCCAGAGTTCCAGGCATATACATTCGAACAGGCAATCTTGGCCCTACACACACTTGCTGTCCCCCTGTGGCTCAGAGGAAGATTGATGGTGGTGTGTGGTGGTGGGTGCTGCGGGAGGGCAGGGCCAGCCCCCTCCTGGGGATCCTGCTTTGACTCTAAGGATGAGGCTGGTGCTGCCTGGGGCATCTCTAGGATCTGCAGGTGTCTATCCCCCAGTCTTCCCTCCCTCCAAGCTCAGGGTGGCACGGGACACCAGCTCCCTGGAGTTCAGGACCCAACACAAGCACAAGCATGAGCATTAGTTGGACTTGGCCACTGCCACCCTATGGCTCTTCTTTTGTGCGTCAAGCTGGCATTCTCACTCTCCCACCCCTTCCACAGCCACTCACTGCTCATTCAAACTCTTGTCCTTGTCTCTCCACCTGCTTCCTTTCAGCCAAGGTGGTCCCTGGGCATCAGAGCAGCATGCCCTGGGCACGAGGGAGAGAGACACACTTAGAACATGTCTAGCTTTCCTGGGATGGTCCAGGCTCATTCTTCTTCTGATTTCCCCTTCCCCCAGGGCTCTTTTCCCCCCTTATTCCTGTACACATATCTTCCCCACCCTGCCACGGATTCTCCCGATCACACAAAGATGCCAGTTGTATGTGTGGGATTTCACCCATTATTAATAAAACCTATATTTATACAGTATGCAGTGTGTACATGTGTGTGGATCTGGCACCTGGTACCACAGGCTGTGAGGGGGTCTTCAGAGCACTTGGTGAGAGACCTGTAAGCTTTAGGAAGTCTGTGGCAGGGGATGGAAAGTCCTAGGTATACGTCAAGTCAGAGATTGTGTCTCTTATGAAATACCTATATCATGTTTCACATCTTACAAATGCTTATGTTCATTATTTCAAGGGAGTCTTAGGCCAACCCTGCATTATCCCTCATGACAACCCATTTTGCAGACAAGAGAACTGAGGCCTAGGTTGAGTAACTTGACCAAGGACCCTTAGCTAATAGAGGTGGAACCAGCCCTGGCAACCAGGTCTTCTGCCACCAGACTCCTCATTCTTGGCATTGACCAATGATGCCTGTTCATGGTGGGTCTGCAAGCTGCGTGCAGGTACCCTGTGTCGGTTGCATGTGTGTGTTCTTGCCCAAGTGAGATGTGACTCTCTTTTCAGAACTCACTGAGCCCTGGTTGTGCCTGTTGGGGGATAAGGAGGTTAGGGGCCACAAAGACAGTGAGAAACAGGAAATATCCAGGAGACTAAGCCCTAGGATGAGAGTGGCAGGGACCCCACTGAGCTCAGCACAGCTTTCCCCTTTTCTTCTTTTTTTCCCACCAAGCCACACTTCCAGGGCCAAGCCATCAGCCACCAGGAGTGGAAATTGGTCTGGGGGCCTGGGATTTGGAGTAGGCAATTCTCCAGGAGGCCTTGAAGGCTGGTGGCAGGATGACCCAAGAAGCAGCACGTTGTCTCACCCTCTTTCATCCTGATCCTTGGGGACTGAAGGAGCGGGCTGCCATCAACACTGCCAGGTGCCTGGAATACCCTTGCTGTGTTGCATGGAGAGCTAAGTGCCCCGGGCTAGGATCAGGCCCAGTCTCTGACCGGTGGGGTGCTTGCCTGGAGATGGACTAATTTTGTTTCTTGTGGAGCTGGGAGTCAGGGTGAGAAGAAGAAATCCGAGTCCTAGCTCCTGGAATTCTAGCTAGCTTTAGGAAGCATTCTGGTTGCCACTTTCTGCCTGGAGAGATGCCAATAGATGGCTCCTTAAAGTCAGAGGGCACAAAATCCCACCATTAGATAGTTTTTCTTAAGATTCTTCATCTTTACTCTTTCCCTTTTAAGATGAAATTTAAAATAGTCCTGAAAGAGTAAAATTTATAAATTCTCACATTTGTAAGTTCCCTCCAGAGTGAAAAGAGATAAACAGTGATTCTGGAGCCAGCAAGGGCCATTTAGGCGCAGAGAACATTGGTAGAGCAACTCTCATATTTGCGAAGAAAGCTCCTTTGATTCTTACAGCAACCCCACGAGGCTGCTAAGATAAGTACCATCATTTCCTCCTTTTACAGAGAAGGAAACCAAGGTTTGGAGAAGTGGCTTGAGCAAGTTCTCAAGATGCTGTGCTCTTGCTCCTGAGAACCACCTGCGATTTCTGCCCCCAGTCCCAGTAACCTGCAGAGGTGGGGCATTCGAGCATGTTCTGAAATGGCCCCACTCTCCTTGAAGGCTGACCTTCCTGGGCTCAGAGATCCTTTCCTTCAACACAGCCACCTTCTGTGTTGGGGTCCATGCAAGGGGCTGGAGGGCAGAGATGACCAAGGCAGTTCTTCACGCTGTGGCTCTAGAGCACCTGCTGCCCCATCCTGAGGTCAGACGACTGAGAGCATGCCCACAGCATGACTCACAGCAGTCCTGTCTGCAAAAGGCCTGTCAAATTATATGTTATTAATAAAACCAACATGGCTGTCATACCCGCTGGAAGGTGGGGGAGGGGAATGGCTTGCTCTGAGCTGTGTCCAGTAACACAGCCAGGGGCCTGTCTGCCTCATGTGGCTAGGTAGCTGGAGTAAAGCTAGAGTCGTACCCCATGCCTGAAATGTCACCCCAGACCACATTCACAGGGTCAGCCTACCTCCCCTCCCCTCTCCCATCCTACTTCCCTTTCAGAACTTATCTTAAAATCAAGTGTGCCATTTTCCCAGCTGCCTGGAATGCCGTTCCCTTCCCTGGCTTATTTTTTAAGATCCAGTTCAAACGTCACCTCCGGTGCTGGAGGCAGTCGGTAACTTCCTCTCCCAGGCTTTCCTAAGACTTCCGTCTGCCTCTGAAGCACCATTAGCTGGGCCCCCTAGAGGGGAGCTGCCTGGTCTGGTCCCTGCTCGCCTTGTTCTGGTTGCTCAGTACTAGCCCAATACCATGTGTTCAGTGAAAGAACAGATATCTCCATGTATAAGTGAAATATCCATGCTGTCCTCAGTCTGGATGCAGGCTAGAGGTCACAAAGCCCTCTTCCCAGCCCTGCCCTGGCGTCTCTCTAGGAGTTCCCTACTGCACACCTCTGTTCAGTGCACACCTGTGTTTGCATGTGGAGGCGTGCCTGGCTGTGGGTGGTGGGTGGCTCCTTCAACTGCTTGTTGGGCCCTGGGTGTGCCCTGCATGGAAACACAAAGATGCGCGTGCAGGCTTTGACGGCCTCGGGAGGCCCCAGGGCTAGGCATGATTGGGTGCTAGACAAGAAGCGCAGCTTGGGGTGGGAGCTGTCCCTCAGCCCCATTCTTCCACCTTCCTTGACCCAAATGACCAGAAGCCATACACAGAGGTCTGGGATCTGAAGAGAACCAGGCACAGAAGGGAGGCCCCCAAAAGACCCTGACTCAGTTCTCTCCCAGGAGGTAGGTAGAGGTGCTGAAAAGGCACCAAGGGAAGAAGGCCCTGGGGGGTGGGTTGCAGGGTGCTTTGGGAAGGTCCAGGGGTGAGGTAGGAAGACACAGGCCCCGGATTCTTGTTCTGGCTCTTCCTCTTCCTGGTTGGATCAACCTGCGCAAGTCATTTCACCCTTCTGAGCTTCAGTTCCTTCATCTATAAAATGGGCATAACAACAAGTCCTGCCTGGGAGGTGGTGAGTAATGGGATGGGACGGTCGCTCGGTGACCTGCAGAGGGCAGTCCCAGCGGCAGGGCCCGCCCGGATGGAGGGCTGTACCACGGAGGGCGGGGGCGATGGAGGGACGGATGGAGAAGAAGCCCCCGCCCCGGGCCTGATCTCCGGGACACCCGCCCCTCTCGCTGTCCCCCTCCCCTTGGGACCCGGCGGCCCGGAGCGCCTGGGCTCATCCTCGCAGTGCCCGCCGCTGGGCGGGATGCCAGGGCAGGCAGGACTCCGCGCAGGCGGGCGGGCGGGCAGGAAGCGCCGCGCCGGGGCCTCTGGGAGCGAGCGGGAGACTCCGGCGGCGACCGGCTCCCGGGCCTGGGCCGCGGCGGGTAAAGGTCTAAGCAGCCGGGGCGGGGCGGGGCGGTGCTGGGCGAGTGCTGCTAAAGAGCTGGTGGCCGGGGAGGCTTAGGACGGCGCCGTCGCGTTGAGTGGTGGGCAGGCTCTCGCCCTGGGCCCCGAAACCAACTCGAACTAGAAAAGCTGTTTGAGACCCAGCTTAAGGGGAGGAGCTCTGGACCTGTGGGGAGCACAGTCCCTGTACCTCCACTGCTGTGCCCCCTCCTTTTCCCACTGACTTGGAGACCGGGGGTGATCTTCTGAGAATTGCCCTCCCCACCCCCATCCCCACCGTGAGTCCCGTGTTGAGTCAGAGGACCTGCATCTGATTTTATCCCACTTAGCTGGTTCCCCAAGCTTCCTTGGCCTTCCAGGGCCCTGTCTTAACCCTTTTCCAGCCCTGGGACTTTTGGTCTGGGCCCTGGCCTGCACCTCCACTGGTTGGCCCTGTTGGCAAGTGGGCCTAGAGCAGCCAGATCTCCCTAAGCCTCCCCTGCCCTTAAGGAACCATCTCTCTTAGCAGAGAGCAGGTGCCACATAGCTGCGCGCTTCATTTAAGGGAGCTCACGGGGATCAGGAAAGACTTCCCAGGAGAGAGAATCTTTGAGCAGATTCTTAAAAGACTGACAGGAGAAAGGTCATTCCAAGCTGATGAAAGAGTGTGAGCTAAGTTGGGAAAGCTCAAGCAGGACTTCAGTTAGCCTGGCGAATGAGGTGCGGGGCAGGGACAAACTCAGAAAAGTAGCTGGTGTGGGTCAGGTGTTCGGACTCTACATAACCTAGGACTTTAGGGAGGTGATTGGGTGGCAGAGATGAAAGATCAGAATGGAATAAGACTGAAGTCAGAGGCCAGTAAGGAGAAGGAGAGGTCCCCGGAAGTTCAATAGGGTCTGAGTTAGCACAGGGGCAGTAGGAATGATGCAACAGGGACAGGCTAGGCAAAGCAGCGGGAGGAGGAACTGGCAGGATTTTCCCACTGTCTGAAGGAGGGGGGAAACGATTTGAAGACAAAGAGGTCAGATATCTAGTATAAATCGTGTGACTGGGAAGATTTGCTGTAAAGTAGCCAAAAGGGGAGGAGGGATGCTGAGCTCAGTTCTGCATATGGGAAGCTTGAAGCACAGGCAGGAGATCCATATGGAGATATCAAATAGGAAGTCATTCATTCATTTATCTATTATTTATGCCAGCCTCAAAGGCAGGTTACATAAAAGTCACAGAGAAGATAAAATGATGAAACCATTAAAACTCAGTGAAAAGGACCTGATAGCTAGGGGAAAAACTTCAGAGGAGAGTGGGTGATTGTTACTGGAAAGTGTTGGCTCAGAAAAGCCACTGAAAATGAACGCAGGACTCATTTGAGCTTGCTGGCAGCCAAGCAAAAAAAAAAAAAAAAAAAAAGGACACCTAAATAAAACAGTTCACTAGGCTGGATCTCAGGACAACTCCAGGGAGAGGCAATGGGTGGTAGGAGATAAGATGGGATCACTCAGGTTGGGGGTGTGGGAGAAGGAGGAGATCTGAGCACCAGGCCAGGGCTTTGGCGATACTGACATTTAAGGAAAGGCTGATGTTCTCCTGAGGAGGAAGGCCCTTCCTTGGTCTGGACTGGGAGGTGGAGTGGGACGGTGTGGGGGTCTGGGTCCATTCACATCATTCTTTCTGCAGGGGAACAGAATAGAAGGTACTGTGCTCAGTCCCCTGGGCTCTGACCTCTGCTGCTATGTGGGGCTGCTATTTGCCCAGGGCCTCTTGGGGCCCTGGTCTGGGAAGAGCTCTTCAGCCAGCAGGTGAGCAGGAAGCAGGGGTTTCTGTTTCTACCTCTCCACCTTCAGAGTCCAGATGGAGTCGCCAAGAGAGCAGAGATCCAGACACCAGATGTGCCAGTCCCAGCTCTGTGATTCACTAGCTGTTGGCCTTGGGCAAGTCACCGTGCCACCCTGAGCTTCCTTTTTTTCACCCTAAAATAAGGGAGTTGGACTAGATGATCTTCAAGGGATCCCTGGAGGTACACAAGTCCAGGAATACTTGTCTGATTTCATTTCAACAAATAGTTATCGAGTGCCTGCTGGGTGCCAGACCCTGTGTTAAGTTCTAAGCAAGTAATTGTGAACCAAAACAGATGTGATCCCTGCTCTCATGGAGGAAGGGTGTGTGTGTGAATGAATGTTAATGAAATAATTACACAATGAAATATAAAATTGCCTAATAACTGATGCAAGGGGGCAGTCATGATGCTGTGAGAGCAAATAATGGGGGATTTGATGTAGAAGTGGGGTCTGTGTATTGGTGAGGTAATGGGGGTGAGTTCTGGATGCTATTTCTTCTTTCTCCTTTCTATAGATGAACGTATCCCTTTCCTGATCCACTGGAGTTGGCCTCTTAAAGGGCAGAATCCCATTGGGCCCCCTAGGTGAGAGTTCACTGTCATATAGTGTCATACGTTAGAACACATCTGGGCACAGCAGAATAGCCTGGGAATGGTCAGGGCTTGGAGAGAACTTGATCCCTTGTGGAAAGGTTGATCTTCTCAGAATGGAGAAGGTACAGAGTCACCTACCAGGTAGAAGAGGAAGTTGACTTATATCATCCATAGTACAAGTCACAGTGGTCAGCTGGAGGGGGGACCTATGGGAAGTAGGTGGAGCCTGGCAGTGACCAGCCTGAGTTCCAGGCAGGCAGTGAGCAGTGGGGGGCTAGGGGCGGGACCTCAGTCCCTGGGAAGGGTGTGAGAGTCAGATAAGGCTCTGAACTTGTGTTCAGGGTCAAGCCGGGATCTCAGGAAGGCAGAAGTCCATCAGTTCCGGCAGCCTGGACTCTGAGCCTGTGCAGAGGCTGCTCCCAGTAGCCACACCCCAGCTCATCCCTCTCCTTGCTCACAGGGCCTTTATTCGCCACTATGGAAGCTCAGCGGGCAGTGGTCCCCCATCAGAGAGGCACGGGCAGTTGTTCCGGGGCATCGCTGCAGCTGGTAAAGGGACTGGCTCCTCAGTCAGCCTGAGGAGGGGACTGCTGGGATCCCAGGGTGGGGCCGGGGAGAGTGGGAGACGGGGAGAAGGGCTTGGAGAGAGAAGTGAGCAGGAGGAAGGAGGTAGAGAGGATCCACTGAGGTGAGCCCATAATCCCCCTGACCATGTATCCCTTCCTGCAACATCCTTATTATGTACAAAGCCCTGGGAGGGATATCTCATCCCTACCTTCAGCACACTGCCTCTAGCTGTCAGGTGAAGACGGCAAACAGATGATCACGCAGCCAGTCAGCCCAGCTCAACATCACTCGTCCCATGGCTCCCCACCTTCTGCCACAGGGGTCCAAACTTTCTGGACAGTCTGACGGAGTCCTATGTGCCCAGCACCATACTGGGCCCCAACATCTTCTGATGTGGTGTTTTGACTCCACAGCCTGACCCTACCATCACCCTAAGCTCCTGCACTTCCAGGCCCCTCGCCCTGACACATTCCCCTTGCCTTCCCATCCAGAAGCTATCCAGCGGCATCGCCGGAACCTGGCTGAATGGTTCAGCCGGCTGCCCAGGGAAGAACGTCAGTTCGGCCCATCCTTTGCACTAGACACGGTCCATGTAGATCCTGTAATCCAAGAGAGCACCCCCGATGAGCATCGCCCACCAGCCGAGCTCGCCCTGGAGCATCAGCCACCCTCAGCCGGGCTCCCCCTACTGGCCCTGTCTCAGCTCTTTGATCCAGATGTCTGCGGGCGCCGAGTGCAGACAGTGGTGCTCTATGGGACGGTGGGCACAGGCAAGAGCACGCTGGTGCGCAAGATGGTCCTGGACTGGTGTTACGGGCGGCTGCCAGCCTTCGAACTGCTCATCCCCTTCTCCTGCGAAGACCTGTCATCCCTGGGTCCTGCACCTGCCTCCTTGTGCCAGCTTGTGGCCCAGCGCTACACGCCCCTGAAGGAGGTTCTGCCTCTGATGGCTGCGGCCAGGTCCCGCCTGCTCTTTGTGCTCCATGGCTTGGAGCATCTTAACCTCGATTTCCGGTTGGCAGGCACTGGGCTTTGCAGTGATCCCGAGCAGCCAGTGGCACCATCTGCCATCATTGTCAACCTGCTGCGCAAGTACATGTTGCCAGAGGTGAGTGCCCCCTGCCCTGCCACCACTGTCCCCAACTTGCCCCCTAAGGATTTTTGTGTTCTGGGTCCACATGTTTAATGGGTAGGGGCGTAGCCTCTGGGTTAGTTCAAATCCTGTCCCTCCACTTCCCAGCCATGGGACTGAGCAACTCACTAACTCCCCCAAGCTTCTTTGAGTTGAGTCCTTCTCTCTTTGAGTTGTACTGATCAAATGAGATGCTGCATGTAAAGTGCTTAGCACAGTGCCCTGGATCATAGTAGGTACTTGCTAAATGTGACTTATAATTACACGGTCATCATCATCGTCATCCTTCAGCACTCCGTCTTCAGGGACTCCATGGCAAGGGAGGCAATGTGGACACCAAGGTCTTTCTTAACCCTCAACCATGGTCTTCCCAGGCCAGCATTCTGGTGACCACCCGGCCCTCTGCCATTGGCCGTATCCCCAGCAAGTATGTGGGCCGCTATGGTGAGATCTGTGGCTTCTCTGATACCAACCTACAGAAGCTCTACTTCCAGCTCCGCCTCAACCAGCCAGACTGCGGCCATGGTGCTGGGGGAGTGGGGGTCACGCCGGCTCAGCGTGACAACCTGGTGGAGATGCTCTCTCGGAACCTGGAGGGGCACCACCAGATCGCCGCCGCCTGCTTCCTGCCCTCCTATTGCTGGCTTGTCTGTGCCACCTTGTACTTCCTGCATGCCCCTACCCCGGCCGGCCAGACCCTCACGAGCATCTATACTAGCTTCCTGCGTCTAAACTTCAGTGGGGAGATGCTGGACAGCACTGATCCCTCCAAGTTGTCCCTGATGGCCTATGCAGCCCGAACCATGGGCAAGTTGGCCTATGAGGGGGTATCCTCCCGCAAGACGTACTTCTCTGAAGAAGATGTCCGTGGCTGCCTGGAAGCTGGCCTCAAGACCGAAGAGGAGTTGCAGCTGCTGCATGTCTTCCGCCGGGATGCCCTGAGGTTTTTTCTGGCCCCGTGCGTGGAGCCAGGGCACCAGGGTACCTTCGTATTCACTGTGCCCGCCATGCAGGAATACCTGGCTGCCCTCTACATTGTGCTGGGTTTGCGGAAGACGACTCTACAGCGCGTGGGGAAGGAAGTGGCTGAGCTCGTGGGCCGTGTTGGGGAGGACGTCAGCCTGGTCCTGGGCATTGTGGCCAAGCTGCTGCCCCTGCGGGCCCTGCCCCTGCTCATCAACCTGCTCAAGGTAACAGCCCCAGGGCCCTGAGCTGCCAGCCCCCATCACCCCCAGTTCACCCCTCGCTCCTCTCCCAAAAGGAAACTGCTACTTCCGGCATAGCTGTGAATTTTTTTCTTGGCTCTGGTTTCAGATTTGGGCAATCTGGCTTTTCGTGGGACTAGTGCATAAAGAAGGGGAGAGAGAAGTCACAGGCTGGGAAGGCTTGGAGGGGAATTAGAGGGTGCAGGGAGTTTCATAACAATCCTGAAATCCTAACCACGGCTTACTTTTTGCATCTCTCCTCCTAGTCTTTATTGCTGGGCAGCAGGGGTCACTGCAGTCCAGGGTCTGTCTTGTGCTTGGAAGGTCCAGAAACCGGACGATATCTATTCTCCCAGAAGTGATTAGACTCTGGGAGTGATGTCTCATCCTAACTCAATCACCAGAGACAGATTTATAAAGCAGATGCCATTTTATTCATTTATACCAGGAGGATAAATGGCATTGGTGATTGTCTTGGCCTGTCTGGGGTGCAGGTCCGCTCCAGAAACCAAATTACAGGCCTGAGGACTGTGCTGTGAGCAGGGTGGATGCGCTAAGTTTTTGATGAGAAGAAGTATCCACTCTCAGCTGGTGTCTGCCAGGTGCCTTGCAAATGAAATATTATGATTCCTTTTATAGGTGAGGAAAGTGGGGCTCACAGAGGCTAAGTAACCTGACCAAGGTCACTCAGACAGTAAGTAGAATAGCTGGGATCTGAGTCCAGGTTTTGTGATTCTAAATCCTGTACTCTTTCTGCCAGACTTTACTGATGTACAGTGGACACTGTACTGTGAAGCTACGGTGCCTTGCTCAGTTCCCCTTTAGGAGTGTTTCAGTAATTGGTCTTGAGGAGGCAGAGCCCTGGTGGGCTGACAAAAACTGAACAAGTTTTCCTTTTTATAGGCAGCAAAGCGTCAGGGTTAAAAACAGGGATTCTGTAATGCAGTTCCCTGGGTTCAAATCTAAGCTCTGCCACTTACCAGCTGTGTGACTTTGTATGAGTTACTTAACCTTTCTGTGCCTCAAGGTCCTTATCTGTCAAATGAGGATAATAATAGAACCTGTATCATTGTAAATTGTTTGTCAACCATAAAAACTGGCTCAGGCAGCCCACTCCTCTCCCACCACTGCCTCAGGCAGGAAGGCAGTGGCTATTGCTGAGGTCACACTTTGAGGATGTGCTTGTCTCATCTGGATTGCAGTGAGAGGCTGTGGTCTCCTGATAGGATTTAGAAAGCCCCTCAGTTATTTGAGGGGACACCACAGCCCCAAGTCCTCAGAGGGAGGGCTGCCTATCAGAGGACTGGTCCCACCTGTTTCTTCATGAGCCTATTGATTTGGCTCCACAGGGTGGCATTTGCTCATCTTGCCACTAGATGCATGTTGGGAAGGGGTACTATCACCTACACGGTGGGAACGTCACCTGTAAAAAGTGAAAAAAACAAAACAAAACAAAAACCCAGACATTAGAAGAGGTGCCAGAAAACAGCTTCATGGCTCTTGCCAGAGGAGCAGACCTCTTCTGTCCTTTCAGAACCATTGCAAGGACGGGAGCTGATGTCGCAAACTTCCCAAACATTCATTTATTTGACAGATACTTGAATGCCTGCTGTGTGCCAGGCAATGTATTAGATTCTGAGGAAAAACCAGTTACCAGAACCCCAGGTTTCTGCCTTTTCTGATCAGCCTCAACACAAACATGTCAACATAACCATATAATTAAAATTCTGGGAAGTGCCTGGAAAGCAGAGTTCCAGGTGCTATGAAAGTCTGTAAGGGGGGGCCTGGTTTGGGGGAATAAGGAAAACCTCCCTGCAGGAAGGGCATTTAATCTGATCCCTGGAGGATTAGCCAGGAGAGGAACTTCAGGGCGGAGGGCAGGGGAACACGCCAGCAAGAGGGTACAGCTTTGAAGGAAGAGAAACCTTGGCACTGTCAAAAAAACAAACAAAAAACCAAAAATGAGAGAGAGAAGCCAAGAGGACAGAAGTGGGTGAGGGTGAGAGGCTGTGATGAAGGGTGTGGTTGGCAGAGGCCTGTCGATGAAAAGTCCATCAGTGGTCAATCTAAGAAATGGAAATTTTCATTTGAGGCAATCTGAGAATTATAGCCTGGGAGACAGTCTCTCAGAGAGTTCTGAGAACCGTTTCAAAGGAGCAAAGAGGGAGGCCAGGATATAGGTGATTTTGGCAAAGGGGGTGTGTGTAACCAAATGTGTATCTCAGTAGGAGGTTGCTGCTAGGCATGAGGAAAAGTTATTTCAGTTAATGGTTTTGGTGCCTATCTAATTATGGGAAGATGCAAGAATCCAGGTTCATAAAAATTTTCTCCTGAAAATAGCTGAGGACCAGTTCTGTCAGTTTTCCCAGAGCACAGAGTGCCTTATCCTGATATTCACTGTGAATTCCTTTCAGGGTTATTGTGGATCAGTGACTTCAGTGGCTAATGACTTGACTCTTGTAGAACTGGGTAGTGGGCAACATTCTTTATTTTACAATCCCTTTCCTTTCGGCCTTAATTTCAATCAAGGTTTGGGACGCTCACTCCCAGGTCAGGTGAGGATTTCCTTGATAGGCCACTCAATGTGATATTACTGTACTAGGCCCTTTTAACAGTAGCCAAAAGCCTCTGGACCACCTGTCTTGCTAGTCTGTTATGGTCCAGGAAATGGTTCCTTCCTGTTGCTTTTCCCCATAGCTAGACTTACAATATTACAATCATTATTCTTATAGAATGATACATTTGGTCAATCATTTCAAGTTCCCTAGTTCATTTTATTAGAGGCTTAAGTCACACATTTGGTAATGCAAGAGACAACAGTACTGTAAAATAGGCAAATGCAGGTAATACTCATAGCATTAACAGGGTCATAAGTAAACACTGAAGCTAAGAAATTCCATGAGGTGCGGCCCAATATTTCCCCAGGTCATCTGACTAGCCTTCTGCACTAACTGCTATCCTTAAGGCAAATGACACATTGGCATTGTACATAAAGTTCACCAAAGATGTCTACATGTGCAAGGTGAGTGGTGGATTATCGTGACCCCTTACAGGACTGAGAAAGGAATGTTATCTTCTCAGGAGTTACATGGCTGGCGCCAGAGAAAAACTGACCTTTATGGCCGAGCAGGCATTTCTGCCATTGGGGTGGTCTGGTTAACGCATAATACAGATGCACAGTGCACACCCGAGGGGAGGAAGGAGGCCCAAATTGGCAAAGAAAAATTTTATGTTTAAACTTTTCTTGTTTTGCCTTAATGTGAAGTTTATTTCATCAGGCCAAATCATGCAGGGTCTGAAGTAGTAGGAGCAGCATCAGTCATCACTGCTGTGATGACAATGATGAGGTTGATGATGGCAATGTATTTATAGCACCTACCTGGTACCAAGCTAAATGCATAATATATGCTAATTCCTTCCCACTATCCCCTGGGCTTGAAATGTATCATGTTTGAGAAGAAGAATTTCCCGATGTCTGGAATGCATGAGACAAGTGTTAAGAGATGACTCTGGAAAGGTTAAATTGGGGCCAAATTATGAAAAGTTTTACATTCCACCTGGGCAGTGGGGAGCCACAGAAGGTGCTGCAGCCAAGGATTAGTACAATGAGACAAATCATGTGCGAATTTCAGGGAGATCACAAGGCTGGAGCAGATGGGGAGAGTGTACCTTAAGCTGAGGCAGGAAAGCCGAATGGCGCAGCATGCAGGAGGTTGCAGTGCTCTCCTCTGCTTCCCTTCCCAGGTGGTTCCACGAGTGTTTGGGCGCGTGGTGGGTAAGAGCCGTGAGGGAGTGGCCCAGGCCATGGTGCTGGAGATGTTCCGGGAGGAGGACTACTACAATGACGACGTCCTAGACCAGATGGGTGCCAGTATCCTGGGTGTGGAGGGTCCCCGGCGCCACCCGGATGAACCCCCAGAGGATGAGGTCTTTGAGCTTTTCCCCATGTTCATGGGTGGGCTTCTCTCTGCCCACAACCGAGCTATCCTGGCTCAGCTCGGCTGCCCCATCAAGACCCTGGATGCCCTGGAGAATGCTCAGGCCATCAAGAAGAAGCTGGGTAAGCTGGGCAGGCAGGTGCTGCCCCCCTCGGAGCTCCTCGACCACCTCTTCTTCCACTACGAGTTCCAGAATCAGCGCTTCTCCGCTGAGGTGCTGGGCTCCCTGCGCCAGCTCAACCTGGCAGGCGTGCGCATGACGCCCCTCAAGTGCACAGTGGTGGCAGCGGTACTGGGCAGCGGGAGGCATGCCCTGGATGAGGTGAACTTGGCCTCCTGCCAGCTGGACCCTGCTGGGCTGCGTACGCTCAGACCTGTCTTCCTACGTGCCCGGAAGCTGGGGTGAGGCCCTGTCCGCATGCACAGGCATAAAGGTTGGAGGTGAAGAGGAGGGAAGAAGGTGCTAGAGAGACCAAAGGGAGCGAGGAAGGACCAGGGGGTGGGGTGAAGAAGTCTAGTGTGGGTGGAGGTGAGGAGAGCAGCAGAAGGGAACGCAGCTGTGGACCACAAGACGCAGGATCGTGAGAGAGGGGCACGGTGGGTGGGCAGGGTCCATGCCGAACTCCTTCCTTGGTTTCTCACCTCCCCTCTGGCCACCTTCTGCTCCAGCTTGCAACTCAACAGCCTGGGCCCCGAGGCCTGCAGGGACCTCCGAGATTTGCTGCTGCATGACCAGTGCCAAGTTACCACCCTACGGTGAGTGCCCTGGCAGGGGGCCTCCATCCTGCTGGCCAGCTAAGGACAAGGGTGAGCCCACATCACCACTTGGCTGGCACGGGCCCACCCATGGTGTCGTAAAGAAGGCAGGAGTCTAGATCATTTTGCCCACCCCCACGTCCAGTACAAGCAGCTGTGTGGGGAGCAATCCCACCAACAACAGGTACTGAGAAGGCCTCTCACGTGGCTAAAAGCAGCCTGGAGGAGGGCTTGGTGGAATAACACTCAGGCTGGTTGCCTGACAACAGTACCATTGATCCTGTCCTGGGATTCTTCCTATCCCCTCACAAGGATGACCCTGACGCTGGGCACTCAGTAGATGCTCCCAGAGTGCTGACTGATTTACTAACAACCCAGACACCTGGGTTCCTGATTTCCAGTTGGAGCAAAGGAGAATGAATGAGAAGGAAGAGAGAGAAGGATGGGGAATCATCGGGAAGGGAGGGAGAAGCAGGGGCTGGAAGGAGGTGAAAAAAGAAAGAAGGGAAATGGTAATGAGGAAGAGGAAGGGGAGGGGGAAGAGGAGAGTCACAAAGGAGAATGGAAGGTGGGAGGAGGCGGGGGTGGGGGGAGAAGCCGGCTTCTACCCAGCTCTCCCTCCTCTGCAGTGAACTGCACCCCCATTTCTTCATTGTCTTTTCCTAAGCCTGCATTTCTCTGTGTCCAGACTGGTCTCTGCCCCAGACTGTGCACACTTTTGGCCCAAGTTCCAGTGCCCCACACAGGGCATCTGCCATGAGCCCTCATAACCTTGGGGTACTTTTAACCCTAGGCTGTCCAACAACCCACTGACAGCGGCAGGTGTGGCCCTGCTGGTGGAGGGGCTGGCAGGAAACACCTCGCTGAAACACCTGTCTCTGCTGCACACGGACCTGGGGGACGAGGGCCTACAGCTGCTGGCTGCCCAGCTGGACCGTAATCAGCAACTACAGGAGCTGAACGTGGCCTACAATGGTGCTGGTGATGCAGCAGCTCTGGCCTTAGCCAAGGCTGCCCGGAAGCATCCTTCTCTGGAGCTGCTGCAGTGAGTCTTGCCCCCAGTCCCATCGCCCTACTCCATCCTGAGGTTCTGTGCCCAGCCCTTCATCCTCCTTCCCTCCCTCCGCTGTGCTTTTCCTACCCTAGAGGGCAAATCTGGGCCTGGACCGGCCTTCCTCACTTCCTGGCTTTTGAGTGATCCTTGCCAACCTGCTTCTGAACCAACTCACCCCTCTGTTATTGGCCCTTACTCAGCCCTCATTCTCCAGCATTGTTTCTATTAGGGTCCTTTGGCCCCATTCCTGCTCATCTTGGTCCCACTGAATTCTAGTGTCATCCCTGCCTCCTCCTGGCCACCTCCCTCCATCTCTGGCTTATTGCAGACATTTACCCCCTTGTATTCCACAGCCAGGGGATGAGTTGTGAGACCCCTCACTCTCTGTCCACCCCCTCCACTGCCTCTCCTCCTCAGAGCCCCGCTGAATGGCATCTCCTCTTCTCTCTCTTGCTAGCCTCTACTTCAATGAGCTGAGCTCAGAGGGCCGCCAGGCCCTGCGGGACTTGGGGAGCACCACTGAGGGTGGTGCCCGGGTCGTGGTGTCGCTGACAGAGGGGACGGCAGTGTCTGAGTACTGGTCAGTGATCCTGGGTGAAGTCCAGCGGAACCTCAACAGCTGGGATCGGACCCGGGTCCGGCGCCACCTTGAACTGCTGCTGCGGGATCTGGAAGATAACCGAGGAGCCACCCTAAATCCTTGGCGCAAGGCCCAGCTGCTTCGAGTGGAGGGCGAGGTCAGGGCCCTCCTGGAGCAGCTGGGAGGCCGTGGAAGCTGAGACCATGGCCACAGGCACCTAGCTGTGTGTCCCCTGGCCCCAAGCCCCTTCCGTCTGTGGCCTCCTGGCTTTCACTACTACTTCTGGAAAGATCCCTTTGAGGCTGGAGGCAAAGGAATGTGCACAGATCTGTCAATTGCCCTGCTGGGGCACGTCCAACCAGTGCTCCCATGTCTGGAATTTCCAGGGTCCTGGAACATGCCTCTTCTCCCTTCGGCTAGAAGGACAGAAGGGTGTGGCATTTTGGTGGTCGTATTGCCCTGTAGCACCACCACCAACCTTGCCTCTCCCACCTTGCAAAGAGCCTTGGATTGTGCCACCAGGGGGCACACTTCTCCCATCAGCCATCCAGATGTGTGGGAGGGCCTTCACATCCTGCCTTTATGCCTTCTGTGGACACCCAGGATGCCCGCAGCCACTTCCCCTCTCACTGGTGCTCTCTCCTCCTCCTGCCCCTTTCACCACAGCGGTACCTAGGCTCGGTGGCCTCTATGGGTGTGGGCACTGACTTGCTGTTGTTAAAGATCTGTGTCTTCCACCTACTGTGGCCTGTTTGCCTGGTGCTTTCAAGAAAGGGTACTGTTCTTGGTCATTCTGGTTAAACTACTGACCACTTGCTGTTGCAAATATTTCTTGGTTCAGAGGAAGTGAGGGTTGGGGGGGCAGTGAACAAGATATTGGGGTGGGGGTGGACCATGCTGGTCCTATCGCCCTTTTCAGGCATACTTATTCCAGGCTTGGAATTTCAGAGACCAGCAATCTGCCTTTCTCTGCGCAAAGTGTCCGGAGAAAGCTGAAGCCCAGGGATTGAGGCAGGAGGGACAGGCACACTTCCTCAGAGGACAAGACTCTCCTCCCGTTAACCATTACCCAACTGCTTCCAAGCTTGCGTCTTGGAGGAGGCGGGACGTGGAGGGGTAGGTGGGAGGATCAGCTGGTTTCCATGGACCTTGTCCCTACACTGAGCACTGGGTCGCTGATTCAACCATGGAGGCAGCTGCAGGTAGGAAGCTGGGAGAAATCCTCTGGAGGGGACTTTTGGGCAGAGGACAGATTGAAAGGCGTTGGAACCAGAATACATTTGGCAATGGGTCTTGTAGCCCTGGGGCAAGTATACTGGAAGTCACGAGAGGAAAGGTGAGTGGGTACTTATATCTGCCTTCCTGGTCCACGCCCTGTACTGATACGATCAGATTTCTGCGCCAAGGACCAAGGTGGGGAGGGGAAGTAAGGGAAGGGGAAAACCCTTTTGGAGCAGAACAGAGGTGAGCCCTGAACTTAGGGGTTCCCCTAAGTCCTTTCAGTTAACGACCATGGAAGAGGAATCTCAGGGGACAGAATGTGCCTCTCCTCCCCTCACCCCTTCTTTGCCCAGCAGATCCTCTGGACACCGCCTCCTTGACCCTGTAAGTGCCGTGTGCGAAGGGCTGGGGCAAGGAAAGGAGGGAATTGAAGGTGGAGAAGCTCTTCAGTTGACATTAATGCCTCAACGTGAGCCCGGGATCCATGTCCAGATATCAGCTTTCTCCTATCTATGTCCCTTGCCTCCTTGCAGGAAGTTTGAGTTTAACCCAAAGCTGGGCATTGATAATCCTGTTCTTTCCTTGGCTGAAGACCTCGACCCCTCTGGTAACCCGCTGCCCCTGGGGCAACCATTTCCTTTCCCTGGAGCCACCAGGGCTCCACACAGTCTCCCATCTCCTTGGTAACCACTCACTCTATCTACCTCTGATGTCTTGGTGGGGAGTGACTACATGGAGGTCAAAGGGGGCCAGATGTTTCCTTCTATCCCAGCCACTCTACCTGGGCTGTGTTCGGCCCCACTGCCCAACACCTGTCCAGTGTCCTGTCACAGGGGCAGGGTTTGCCAGGCACAAGGTAACTTATACTTGGGCTGTGTTTCTTCTCCTCCCCCTTTCCTGCTGCTCACCTCCCCTTCCAGATCTCTGGAGCCTAGAACGGCCTCGCTTCTGTCTGCTGAGCAAAGAGGAGGGCAGGAGTTTTGGCTTCCACCTGCAGCAGGAGCGGGGCACGGTCGGGCATGTAGTGTGCAGGGTGGAGCCAGGCACTTCTGCCCAGCGCCAGGGTCTTCGGGAAGGAGATCGTATCCTGGGGGTGAACAACCATGTTGTGGAACATGAAGACTATTTGGTGGTGAGGTTGGGCTGTGGTACAGGAGAACATTCCATAGCACCTTAGGGAGACAGAAGCCGGGTGGTCACCGCCCTGGGTACACGGGGACAAGATCCAAGCCTCAATTTCCCTCATCGCCTAGGATTGAGGGATGCCCGGGTCAGAATGGGTGGGTGAAGGCCTCCAGAGAGCTGTAGCTTCCAGGGAGGGGGAGTTGGTAAGAAGGGCCGGCCCCAGCCCTTCCCGCTTGCCCGCTGCTCAGGTGATACGCCGCATCCGGGCCAGCAGTCCGCGGGTGTTGCTAACGGTTTTGGCCCGGCACGTGCACGACGTGGCCCGAGCTCAGCAGGGGAACAACAACCACCTCTGTCCTACTCTTAGCCCGGGGGTCCGGCCCCGGCTGTGCCACATAGTGAAAGATGAGGGTGGCTTTGGCTTCAGTATCACCCAAGGTGAGCCTTGGGAGGGGTTGGCAGGGGGATCTCAGCCCTGTTCTGGACAGGCAGCAGACAGAAACGTGCCATTTGGGCTTCTAGGACGTCGGGGTCCTTTCTGGTTGGTGCTGAGTACTGGAGGGGCAGCGGAGCGGGCAGGGGTGCCCCCTGGGGCCCGACTGCTAGAAGTGAATGGGGTCAGCGTGGAGAAGTTCACACATAACCAACTCAACAGGAAGGTATGGCTGCCTGTTTCCTGTTGGTCCTCACGCCCCTGGGCCCTGGGCCCTGTCTCAGGAAGCGGACTTTCCTCCATGCACCTGATCTCCTGGTCTGATCTTGTATCTCCCTTACCATCCTTCGCTTTACAGTCTGTGCTGGACCATTCCCTCCCCTCCCCAGTGCCTCATTCCTGGGCCTGGGAGAGGGACTATGCGGAGGTGCCTACCTCTGCCCTCCCTACCCAGGCGGCTGATGCTGATGCCCTGCTGGGTCCCCACAGCTTTTTCAGAGTGGCAAGGAGGTGACCCTGCTGGTGGCAGGGCCAGAGGTGGAGGAACAGTGTCGCCAGCTGGGAATGCCCCTGGCTGCACCCTTGGCAGAGGGCTGGGCACTGCCCAACAGACCCCGCTGTCTGCATCTAGAGAAAGGGCCCCAGGGCTTCGGGTTCGTGCTCCGGGAGGAGAAGGGTCTTGATGGTCATCTCGGTGAGTGGGAGCCCTGGGAATGGGGAGGGAAGGTGGGCGTTGGGGTGGGCACACAAGGGCACATATACAACTCACCGTGCACACAAGTGGTGTTTCTGGCTGAACCCCAACCCAGGGCCTCCTCCTCCTCCTGGGTACCCCCTGGATCAGGCGCCCAGTGTACACACAGTGGCCTGGGCCGGCACTGAGGGTCAGTGGGGGAGGAGCAGTGAGGATGTCTGTGTCCCAGGTCAGTTCCTGTGGGAGGTGGACCCAGGACTGCCAGCAGAGAAGGCCGGGATGCAGGCTGGGGACCGGCTGGTGGCTGTGGCTGGGGAGAGCGTTGAGGGGCTGGGCCACGAGGAGACAGTGTCCAAGATCCGGGCGCAAGGCTCCTGTGTCTCGCTTGTTGTGGTGGACCCCAAGGCTGACCGCTTCTTCAGCATGGTGCGAGCCGAGGGGCAGGGACTAGGTCGGGGGTAGGGGCAGGCTCAGGTGGAGGGAGAAGCAGCAGATCTGTCCTATCTGCCTCCTCCCAGGTTCGCTTGTCCCCACTCCTCTTCCTGGAGAGCACGGAGGCTCCTGACTCTCCCCAGGTCACCCTCTCAGCCTCTCTGACTGAGACCGAGGACCCACCAGTTGAAGATACAATGGTAGCCCCTGTCCCTTGCGGCTTCCGCCAGTGCTTCCTGTACCCTGGGCCTGGAGGTGGCTATGGCTTCCGACTGAGCTGCGTGGCCAGTGGGCCTCATCTCTTCATCTCTCAGGTGACTGATGCCTCAGGGACCTTGAATTCTTTCAATCATTTGCTTCCTAATGACCCTTCCTGTCCTTCCCTCCCAGAGCCCTAGAGCACCCAGCAAACTTTTCTGTGGTATTCCAAGTTCTATATCCCCCTCTACTCTGCCAGGTGACCCTAGGAGGCTCGGCTGCCCAGGCAGGGCTGCAGTTGGGAGACGTGATTCTGGAAGTGAATGGGTATCCTGTGGGTGGAGAGAATGACCTGGAAACGCTTCAGCAGCTGGCTGAGGCCGAGCCACCCCTACGCCTGAAGCTAGCAGCCAGGCCTCACCAGAGCTTGGAAGCCTGGATTTCACCAAGGTCTGGAGAGGTGAGGAAGAAGACAGAGGGACTGTGAACAGCCAGAGAAGGACAGAGGAGGGTCAGAGGGGAGGGCAGAGCAGTAAGCTGTGGAGTGAAGCAGTGTGGAGTATGTAGGTTGGGCCATGGAAGGCGGGAACAGAAGGACCCAGGGATGAAGCCCCATTCCTGGGCATTCCAGGGCAGGGGGCAGCAGGAAAAAGGAACTCTTCCAGTCCCTGAATGACATTTTCCCTTCTTTCTCTGCTTAGGACTGGGCCCTAGACTCAGATGTGCTATAGCACTCCCGTGCCTGGCACAGATTTGCCCAAGCTTTCCTGACTTCACTCTCTGGCCTGAGGTGGTAGGAGCTGAGATGCTCTCTATAAACCAGAAGTGGCAGCTCTAGGACTCTGGAATCTTCCAGTCACAGGATGGCCCAGGGTCTACCTCCCTTCCTATGAGGGCCCACCCTCCCAGAAGAGGGTGTGGTTAGAGGTTGCAGGTGGGCCCAATAGGGAGTCTCCTCTCTGATTCCAGAGGGAGTCATCTGGGAGCCTTGGGAACGGTTCTTCAAGGAGGAAGCTCTGTCTGAGATGAGTGCTGTGATTTTATGATTTATAACAGGAAATATGTATTTGGTTTTCATACCCTTTCTTGGCACAGAGGTCCTAAAGCCCTTGGAATTTCCTAAGTAATAAAAATGATAAAGGTATTTTCTGTTACTGTTAATAAGCCCCTTCAACCACACCTACCTTTGTTAATGAGGTGAATTTGGAAAGCACTTAAGGATGGGGCACTGGTTGCAGGGGAACCAATCATGTGTTTAGAAGGTTAGAACTTTCAGTTCCATCCCTACCCCTACCCTCACCCTCCTGGGAGGGGAGAGGGGATGGAGGGTGAATGAATCATCAATAATCAATGGATTAATCTATATAACGAGACCTCCACAGAAACCCGAAAGGACAGATATGGAGAGCTTTCCGGGTTGCTGAATGCGTGGAGGTGCTGGGGGGTGGCTCACCTGGGGAGGTCATGGATCCTCCAAGCTCATACCCTGCCCCGTGTATCTCTTCCATCTGGCTGTTCCTGAGTTGTGTTCTTTACAATAAACTGGTAATCCAGTAAGTAAACTGTTTCCCTGAGTTCAATCACTCTAGCAAATGATTGAACCTGAAGAGGGGATTGTGGGAACCTCTGACTGATTGCCAGTTAGTCAGGAGCACAGGTGACAGACAACGTGGACTTGAGATTGGCAGTGGGATCTGTGGGATCTGACGATATCTCCAGGTAGATAGTACCAGAATTGAGTTAAATTGTAACATGAAAGTTAAATTGTGTCTACAGAGCATTACTTGGTGTGGGACACCTCTTCACCCTGCAACCCTACATTTAACCAGAAATGAAGTAGAACTGAGAGAGTTGTAATAAAATAGAGAAACACCGAATTTTCCCTTTTCAGGTGGGCTGTGGGGCTGGCTAGGATTGTAGCCATCTGCAACTTGCCCTAGGCATGACTCCAGGACTGTTGGGTGTTTTGCAAGAATTTGGAGAGCACTGTACCTTCTTTCTGGGGGCACCTTAGGATGGTGGGGCTAGTGCCTGGTCACTGTTGGCCTAGTATAGAAACGGCCTTTCCCTGCAAATCTGGCTTCCTTTGCTGGTGCTAGTGGGGGAAGGGGGAAGAAAAGTTCCCCAGGCTCAGAGGGTGGGACCCAGTTTCTCTAGGAGAGAAGTGAGGCCTTGTCAAAATCAGTCTTCAGGGTAATGGGTCAGCCCAGAACCAAGAAGTTCCCATGAGAGGCACTCATCTCTGCCTAAAAACCACAGCCCACAGTTCTACTGAGCTCTACATCAAGACAGCTTTATTGCTGGGGCCTGAGAGGGTCCCAGAGACTTGGGCTCATGGTCTCAAAGATCCAGGGGGTTGAGTCCAAACTGGCGGAGCTGCTCCTTGTACCTGGCGTGGAGTTTCAGCAGAGCCCCGTCCCACTGAGGCTTGACCGCTCTCAGTTTGTCCAAGAGCCGGTCCAGGCTTCCCTACAGACATCAAGCTTCAGATCCCAGGAGGGGAGAGGGCTGGATGAGGGGTGCCCCAGGTTGGTCTGTAAGCTTTTCTAGCCAGAGTTTTCTTAAAGCTCTTATTCTTAGTGGGCAGGCACGGTTGTATACCCATAAGATACAGCAGAGTTCCCAGTGGAGAAGCTGTTTCTCCTTCCCTGTGGTCTGTCATTGTCACACTAGCTGGGATTTGTGGGGATGGGAGAGTGCTGGGTGCTGGGATGGCTGTCTTTCAGAAGGTGGTGCTTACATGTAAGATTTCCTCATACTTGGCCTCCATGTCTGCCACGTGGGCCCGAAGCTGAGCCAGAGTTCGGTCCCGCTCTCCAAGGGCCTGCTTGGCCTCTCTCTCTGCATCCTCAGCCTCCCTCTGGCACTTGTCTGGGGTGAGGGGCAGAAGGATGAAAGAGGACAGGATGGTGACACTCTATCCTTAAACGGAGTCTCCAAGGTACCCCCCAAAACAGAACTTTAGCGGGCTCATTCCAGACTCACTCAGGGTCATCAACTTTCCCATAGTTCCTATAAAGAGCTGAAATACACCATTAAAGTATAGTAGAGAGAGTGGGCTTGGGACAAGAGATCTGGGTCCTAAATCTGGTTGTCACTTACTACTTGTATAACATCTGGCATCTCTCTCTCTGAGCTTCAGTTTCTTCATCTTTATAGAGAGAATGACACATACTTCATAGGCTTGCCGAGAGTTAAAATTGATAATATATGGGAAAGTACCTAGTATGTACGCTGATTGCATTTAAATTTGAGATAAGGCAAAGATGAGGAAAGGAACGCCCGGACTGCATTGCAAATAAGCAACTCTTGGTAGCTATAGCTAAACTAAAGCTATTTTAGGATAAGAGAACTTTGAGGTCAGAACTGTGCAGAATCTGTGTGCCATGCTAAAAATGTTCAACTCTATCCTGTTACTAAGGGAGGAGGGTATAGCTCAGTGATAGAGTGTATGCCTAGCATGCAGAAGGTCCTGGGTTCAATCCCCAGTACCTCTACCAGCAGAAACAAATAGATAGACAAACCTAATTACCTCCCCCCACCAAAAAAAGAAAATTATCCTGTTACTAAAAGGGAAGAGAGCAAAAGCTTCCTACTTTAAAAAAATATTTTTTTGCTTATTTAAAAGGCTTATTTATTAGCAAACAAGTTATTTAGGATCTACCATGCACTAGGCCTGAAGATATGGAAATAAACAAGTCAAACGGTTTCATTTTCACTTGGTTTCATTGTAAAAATCAGCCAAACTAAGAGGGAATATGTTTTGCTCATGAGAGGCAAGGTGGTGGTGGGGATTAAGAAAGAACTGGATTTGGAGAGACCATTGAGGGGGGGAATGGAGTGAGAGATTGACACTTGCTTTACTTATAACTTAAGATTTTTTTTTTCCATCCCGAACCCTCTGCTGCAATCTGAAGTGGTAAGGGAGAGACAGTGGGGAAAGCAATATGAGAGATTGCAGTCTTCTAGAGAAGGACTGTCTTAAGCCCACCCCTTTAGGCTGGACCTCGCCAGTGATTTTCCGAGAGGAAGGGCTCTGAGGATGGGGAAGCCTACCTAACTTCTCCCGAAGGCCCTTCACTTCCTCCTCCAGCTGCCTGCTGCGGGTCTCCATCTCCTCCTGCAGGGCCCGGCGCTGACGGCTCATCTCTGTGGCGGGGACAGTGGGTGGCCAGGAACCCAGGCCCGAATAGAGCAGTGGAGAAAGGATGGAAAATTTTATGGGTAGGGAGGGCTCCACTTGGTCAAGTGAGACAGGAGCATAAAGGCATTTTGGTTCTTCTTGTGGTGATTCTGAGAAGCTGGGGAAAGAGCTAGGAAACAAGGCCCCCTTCCCCAGTGCCAGGTGCCAGCTCAGGATTGGGACTCTAGCCCTTCTCCCCACACACTCCCTCAGGATGAAGGAGATAAAGGCTATGAATGCATTTTGTAATCCACACAACATCAGGTGCATGGCATCGTGGAAGGTCCCCGCCCAGGATCCTGGAGACCTTCCTTTGGTTCCTTCAGGATTCCTGTGCAAGCTGGGAAGGCTGAGACTAGGCAGGGCAGGGGGAAGTCCTCCTTGTCTCCCTTCCTAGCATCCTCTGGCCCTCTTGGTTGTCCTCTTCCAGGCCCCTGTCTCCTGTCCACCTGCCTGACGAACCACATACCTGTATATATGGCCTTCCCTTCCCTCCGGGCCCCCTCCAGTTCAGCCTCCAGTTCTTGCAGCCTCTGCTTCAGCTGGTCTTCAGAAGCCTTGGCTCGGCGGGCCTCATTCCTTTGCAGAGCTGTGGACAGTCCCAGAGTGGCCCTCAGGACTGGCTGGGGACCCCACTGAATCAGCCCTCATGGCCTTAATGGATCCTGTCCACCTCTGGAAACCTGGCGGCCGGCTTCCAGCCTCTCATGTTATTCTGGGTTTTTGTTATCCCCTTAGAATCCTACAGGTTTTTTGTTACTAAGAAGCAAAACTCCCTCTGTGTTCTGGCTATAAAAAAATAGCTGCCTCTACCAGCCCTCACTGCATACCCTTTCCTCACAACCCCAACTCATGACACTCTTTATCCACTAGGGGATGATGAGAGGTTAGCTCAGCCCCCCACCATAGCTCCAGCCCTCCAAGCCCCAGGGATGCAGAAATGCCCATTGTCTCATCTCTATTGCCCCTAGAACTTCCAGCTTTCTTACCCAAGTGGTCTCGGAGCAACTCATTTTCCAGCTGTGCCAGCCTGTGCATGGATTCAGTCTCCACATCTGCCCTGGCAAGATGGCAAAGCCTCAGCTTATCATGATTGCAGCCTCCTTAGTCCCCTCACATCCTCATTCCACATGCTGGACTTTCTTTTTCGCAGGAGATCTGAGGACCACTAAATGTAGGGTCTCTGATAGCAGAGTCTAGTGAACTCACTGCCCAGTACTCAAAATATATTTGATGAATATATAAGGAAGGCACAGAGCCAGAGGGGCTCAGAGAGTGTGTGGGTGCAGATTTCCCCACTTTCCAGCTCCAGGGAACATGGATGCAAGGATATGAAGGGAGAGGGTCAAAACAGTTCCATTTGCCGTGCAGAGGACTGAATTCCCTCTGGAGAAACTCTGCTTGGTCTGAGCCAGAACATAGACAGCAGGGGGCACTCACCTCCCCCCAGCCTGACTCACCAGCACCTGCATTCCTTTTCTTCTTCTGTGCCCCAGCTTTTGTTCCGTTTGCTTTGGTCTTAGGTGGCATCTCCTTGCTCTCTTGGGGGAAGGAGGGAACTCATATTCAGGTCTGGACATGGAGATGCTTTCCTGACCCCTAGATTGAACCATGAGCCCCAGGAGAGTTAGTGTTCTAGTCTCCAAGTCTGTCTCTTATATTTTCCAGAAGCTTCTGTTCTTGGTCTCCTTGGAAACTTAGGCAAGGCTGGGGCCAGTGGGAAGGATGGAGCTGTTTCTCTCTACCAGTCAGGCCCTAAGTACATAAATCATTCTTCTCAACCCTCTTTTGGAAAAAATAAATCTCAATACCTGGTCCCTACCCTCTTCCCATCATCCTTACCCTGTTTCTTCCTTTCTGTGAGACCTTCTCTTCCTCTGTTGTGACTCCCTGTGGTGTGACCCACTCATGAGGAGGGGCAGAGAAGAGGTCCAACCAGCTAGGAGCCTGAGGAGGAGACTAGGGTCTGGGAGCCAATCCAGAGTGGCAAATTTCTGTTGAGGGCAGGATTGAGAACCGGGAGGTTGGGTTTCTGGAGGCCGCGTGTTGTCCAGGCAACTGGGAAACATGGAGTTCATAGGAAGGTAGAATGTGCTATATATAAAGCTTAAAACACCAAGGTCCCAGACGGCCAATTCTCTCCTTGTCCCCAAATCCTAAGTGTAGTTTGAGGAGAAAGGGCTTTGGTGCTGATTAGCTATGATTCACTTCCATGTAGCACTGCCTACAATTTGGAGACTTACAAATTACAGACCTATATATCTGAAATAATGCTCTTGTGCAGAGGGAAGGGACTGACTTCAGACATTTTGGGCAATTTACATTCCAAAGTCTCATCAGCAAAATGACATTATTAGGCTTAACACTGAAGATCCCATACAGGAAGGTGTATGAGGGAAAGAAATGCAGGAGAACGTGGTTGAGAGAGTTTCCCATTTCAGAGAAATAAGGGAGACACAAGGCAGAGGCAAACCCTGGACCCCAGGGTCTTAACATAGAGAGATGCAAATGGAGAAGAAAGGGTACTGGTTAGAGAAAATTTCTGTGAGCTCTAGTCCCCCTACTCTGGCTATGGAAGCTTGGGGCAAGCCATTTAACCTTGCTCAGCCTCAGTTTCCCGTCTTTAAATCTTTGATTTTGTAAATCTTGAAAGGCCTGCATTTTCACCGAGTATGTACAGGGCTGTCTTCTCTCATGGTGGCTTAGTGTATTGTCTCTCCTCCCCTATTCACATACGTGGTTGACTTTCAGACAGGGGGCTGAGGGAAAACCTTGCTTGGCTCCCTGTACTATTGAGTGGCTGGGGCTCCCTCTAGTGGCCTTGCTTGACCTTCTCTGGAGCCTCCTAAATTATTTATCGAGCAATGCTGGGGGTGCCTCCCACATAGGGATACTTCCTAGCATCTTGCTGGAGTAGTAGGAAAATAAATTTGGGGAAGGGAGAATGATGGGTGGCTTGCTCTTGTCAGGAAGCATCGCCCTCACCCCCCTCCCCATCCAGCCCTGTGCTTTTGGGAGTCTTGTCCACCTGGATCTCTGGACACCATCCTGGCTAGAAAGAAAACAGAAGAAATGTCAGGGCTTTCCCCTTGTGCTTTAAAGGAGCTGAAGATTCTTTCTTTAGCTATTTCTCTTTATTTCTGTCCCTCTCAACATTTTTGGTCAATTGCCTGTTGTCTGGAACAGTTCTGAAGAAATAGCCATGAGATCTGGGGGAAAAAAACCCTTCCTCTGAGGAGCAGGCAGATTCAGATAGAGGCTGATTCTGATGTTTATTTGTCATCTTCGTGGCTGCAGGGTACTTCTCTGACCTCGGGGACATTTTACAGAGTAAAGAGAAGAAACAGCTTTGTCTTTCCAGGTACTTACAGTTCCCGGACTTCAGTGTCAGATAACCTGTGCACAACTCCCAAATCTAGAGGAGATTTTTCTTACCTTGAAACATGTTTTTCATTGATCCCTCCCACTCCCAACCCTCTGTCTCTGCCTAGGAATGCAATAGTGGTTCCTGTCCTGGTCCTTCTCATCTAGAAGCCTGTTTGGGGAATTTTCTATAGAACGATCAGTGTCTCTGTTATGCTGATGCCTAGAGTGACATATTGAGGACAGAGATTACAGAGTACAAACAACATAGCAGAAGAGCTTTACTTTTCAAATATGTTCAGTCAACCGACTTTCAGGTGCAGAACCAGGATGTGGTTTGTGTTGAAGGTGAAATGGAATAAGAAAAGTGCCACGTGTCACATGATGTGATACGAATTGAGCCAGCTCTAGAATAACCCAGGAATGAGAATGACATTCTGATCAACAATTCAATCTTTAGTACATTTTGAAAACAAGCCACGTGAAAATTGTAAAAAAAAAAAGTCAATCTTTTCTTCTCTTTTCTTTAACCTCAGTTCAGAAGTTTTTCACTTCACTAGAAAAGGTCATTTCAGCAGAATTCTGTCCTCCTTCTAGTAGGATCCCATCCAGGAGTTTTTTTTAAAGAGATACAGAGGAAAGAAGGGTCACTCTCTCTATTCAAATGTGAGAGATATGTCATTGTATGTTAAAAGAAATATGGCTTACTGCAGCAGAAACAAAGTGCAAATTATGCAATTCCATTCTAAACAGACCATACTGAACATAATACAAATTGGAAGCCTTAACCCAAGCCAGAGCTATGCAGATGACCTACAAGCTCATACATAGCTCCAAGGGTTAATTTCTAACCTGTACCCCACTAAAATCTAAGATTTGACTATGAAGGAGGAACAAACCCTTGTGTATCTACACTATGCTAGGTTACTGTGGAAAACCAAAGTTGATAAGACAGTATAGCACAAATTAATGTGCTGCAGGCGAGAAACAAATGGTTATAGAAATTTAGAGGAGGGAAGGATTCTTTCTGGCTGGAGTGTCTGGTAAGGAGGATAATATTTGAGTTGAATCTGAAGAATGATTGAACTTTAGTAGCGCTCTTTCTGCAGAGGGAATGGTCTGAGTAATGGTGATGAAAAAAGAATTGTGATACTTTGTGACTTGGCGAATCACCCAGCATAGGATATATATATTGGAATAGTATAAGCTGCAAGGTAGTTTAGAGTTAGATCATGACTGTTAACTTAATTCAGGAGGCAATGGGGAGTATTTAGAGTTGTTGGGGTTTTTTTTTGGGGTGATGTCAGAACTATACTTTAGGGAGGCTGGTCTGGTGGCAGTATGAATTGGAGGTGGCAGGGAAAACAGTGAGGAGAAGGCTTCAATAGACCAAGGGAGAGAAAAGGAGAGTCTGCAACTAAGGGTGGGGAGGCACTAGAGATGGAAAGTTTTGCCACTTATCTAAGAGCTTTGCCTATATTTTCTCTTTAGACATTCTAATTATTTCTAGATAGGAATTGATTAATGGAAATTCTTAGGAAATGATAATGTTGACTCCACAATCAGTCTTGGATACAGCCCACCAAAGTGCAAAACAAGGATGTCTGGCTGAAAAGTCCTCGAGTTCAGAAATGTTTTTTCCCCTCTTACAGAACCCTTTTATAAGCTTAATTCTCTAGGCAGTCAAGAGCTTCATGTAAGAGCCAGGAGGGGTATCTAAGGAGGAACTGAGTACTTATTGACATAGCAAGGCCTGCATGCTCCTAGAGCTGAGGCTCAGAATTAGCAAATTAGGGCAGGGCACTTCCTTCTTCGGGAGGGAAGTTCTTTTTTTTTTTTCAAAGTTCTTCCAACGGAACTTTTAGATGAGAAAAGTGGAAGTAACTGGGAACTGCATTTCTGTTCCGCAGGCGGAGCAAGTACACCTCTGGCCAGGCCTTGAAGCTCACAGTTTCGGTGGTCACAGCCTGATGCTGGCGGTGCCGACCTGCGGTTCTATGCTTTGAGCAGGGGAGTCCTAAGTACATATTCCATTCCCAGAAAAGGAACTAGTGTTCAGAAGTAAGAAAATGGGGAAGTGTTTTGTTTTCAGAAGGTCAAAGACCTGGAAGAAGAGCTCGCGGCCTGAGTGTTTCAAGCCTTCCTGGGGTCTAATCAGGATGCAACAACCTGCAGCTTTCACATTCCTGTCCTTGTTCCCGACTTAACGAGGAGTTTAAAACACTAGGGAGTGGGGGGAAATTTTCCCTTTTTCTCCCACAGTGTGAAGAGGCAAATAACTTTAGGCTCAGTTTCCCCGTTTGTCAGATGTGGGGGAAAGACTTGAGTTTGAAATTCTTTCTATGGCTACCTGTCTTAATTTAAATATTTCAATAACCCCCTCCCCACGGAGCGACAACCCACAACCCACGAGAAACATGAAGAGCTCGGCTTCTGCCTAGTGCGCAGACTCCATGCTAGACCCCGCCCCCACCCTTTCCTCGCTCCTCCAGCAGAGGGCGCAGGCGCAAAGGTTCCGCTTGGGCCCGCCCCCCGGGGCTGGGGGAGGCGGCGCGGAAATTTGGCCGCGGCTTTCCGGGAGCTGTGGCTCGGGAGTGGGTGGCGCAGGGGAGGTCGCTCGCCAGTTCGGACGCCGCCGCCCGCTTCCCCGAGCTCCGCGCGCTCCCTGCCGCCCCCGGGCTCGCGCTCTCTGAAGGGGCGCGCCCGCGCGGACCGCGCTCCCGGCGCCGCCCACTCCCCTCCCAGCGGCCGCCCCTCCCTCCGCCCGCACGGCCGGCGGCGGTGGCCGGGAGAGGCCCCTCCTTCACGCCCTCCTTCTTTCCCTCACTCGCAGCCGAGCGGAGCCGGCGGACGCTGCTGGGCCCCTAACCCTCCCGGGCCATGGCCGGCAATGTGAAAAAGAGCTCCGGGGCCGGGGGAGGCGGCGGCTCCGGCGGCTCGGGCTCGGGCGGCCTGATCGGGCTCATGAAGGACGCCTTCCAGCCGCACCACCACCACCACCACCTCAGCCCCCACCCGCCGGGGACCGTGGACAAGAAGATGGTGGAGAAGTGCTGGAAGCTCATGGACAAGGTGAAAGGCCTGCCGAGGACCCGCGGGAGCAAGGGTGGGCGTGGGCGGAGGGGCCGAGGGAGGGGAAGGAAGGGACAGAGGAAGCTGGGGGAGGGGACGGGTCGTGCGAGGCTGGGGAGGCAAGGAGCTGGGGTGACGGGGCCGGGCGGTGGGGGACGTGCGGGTGGGGAGGAGACCGGGAGGATGGGGGTCGGCGGTGGGGGAAGGGCTGCGGTTGGGAGTAGGGGAACGTTGAGGTGGTGTGTTTGGGGTTGCGAGACAAAGATGGGGTGGGGGCTGGGGTGAAGGTTAACTGGGGAGCCACTGGGGCGGAAGTATAACGGGGGGTGCAGAGTTTAGGGCACTGTGCAGGGTGTAGGGTTGTGGGTCGCGGAATTGGCCCCGGGAGATAGGAGGGAGGCGGGTGAGAAAGAGCGCTTGATTTACCGGCAAGGACTGTTGGCTGCATCCAGCTATTACGTTTACAGTCTCTGATTGAGACCTGGGGTCAGGACCACTTCGCCGGCAAACTGCGCTCTGGATGAGCGTATAGTTTTTTTTCTCGTTAAGATGTAACATCAAGATAAAAGAAATAGGGGGGTGTTTAAATGAGCAGAGGAAGGAACTTTCCTCCACATCTAGAGCTGGCTTAAGTTTTTATCCTCCAAAAACATTGGACGTGATCCATTGCCGGTGCTTAGATATGCACTGATTAAACCACAAGTTCTGGTTATGACCATTATCTTCGGAGAGATGTATTGATTGAGAGGGTTAAGCAGCAGATTCTGACTCCTTCCAGAACTTCCTCCTTACACCCACTGCTTTTAGGTGGGTTCTACTTTTTTTTGGTAGCGGAACCTGACTTCTTATTGCAGGACCTGACTTTAAGCTTGTTGGATGAGCTGCTTTGATTACCTTTTTAAAGCGACTGTGAAAAATAGCCCCACTTTAAGTTTGGTATTTGGGAGAATTTTACTTCCTTATAGTTGTGTGTCTGTATAATACAGTGATTAGTCCCAAGTACTTTAAAGTGTTCAAACAGCCTAACGATTTGTTCCAGAGAATTCAATATTTCCTTGATATTTTTCACATTTATTAATAACGTATTTTTGCAAAATTCATACTTCAGATGAAAAGTGATTAGAAGAATCGGACATTTATATTGTAAGAGAATGGTGTTATTTCCAACAGAATAAAATTGTTTTTCTTTGGTTCCTCTGTGGGCCTAGGTTCCGCTTCTGTAAAGTTTTCATGGATTGCTTTGGCCTAGAAACAGCTAATAAAAGTGATTATGAAGCACTTGGCAAACATAAATATGCTATATAAATGCTTAATAAGTCCTGTGTGTGAATTAGCACTCCTGTTATGGATACCATTGGTTTCAGAAGCTTCTTTTTCTGGCTGATTTTTCTCATGTTAAATAATTGGCATTGTAATTAATGAACAGGTATTTGTCGATTGTATTGGTATTGTAATGCTAATTTCATTATTAGAAATTGTACTAAAACCATTAAAGAAACTTAGGCACGTAAAGGAAATTCTAAATGCATTGACATCTTTTAAAAAAATACATCGAGTATATTCAGAATCTGAAGCTTGTAGGTTTGCATTTTAGGGATTTAGAGGGGAGGTATATAGCTCAGTGGTAGAGTGTGTGAGCATCGTCAAGGTCCTAGGTTCAAGCCCCAGTACCTCTGTTAAAAAATAAGTAAATAAATAAACCTAATTACCCCCCAAAAAACCAAACAACAAGAAAAAAAGAAAGTACTTAAAAAAAAAGAATCCCCTCTCCAAAAAAAAAGTTAATTACTTAAAAATGTTCTCCTGGAATGGAAAAAATTTGCATTTCTAATTACTTTCTCATGTAAGACAGGTGTGGGAACATTCAGTGTATCAGAATTGTATTGATTGGAGACTTTCTTAAAAATAATAAACTTTTGACACCACATTGTAAACTGACTATACTGAAATAAAAATATATTAAAAAATAAACTTTTTATCAGACTTTGAGTCTCTGTAAGGTAGTCCAAATAAGACCCCCCCTTAAGTCTCACTCCTTCATCTCTTTAAAGTATGTGTATTGAATTACGATTTCTTTCACAGAATGTTTAATTATTTGGAGAGAATAAAGACGACTCAGAGTTTTGAGTCTAATGCTTTTCAGGTTTTGATAGTTTCAAGGAAAGTAGGCTTCTAGTTTTTCCATTCTAGCATAGGGTGTTTTATTCCTGTTTTGCTTGTCTTGAAAGATGATTTTTAGTACCCTTTGCTCCATATCGTAGATTACTAGCTGTGCTGAAATGAAAACTTGGTTCTTCTTTCTGATATATTAGTCCAGTAGGTTCGTACTGCTTTGCAGATTTTCTGAATACTTCTGTAGTTTTGTTACATTGCACCATCTCTTTTACTCTTAATTGTTTTTTTTAACTGTTGATATTTAGAGCATAGATGTTCTCTTTTTCACTTTATTTTTACTATTAAAAGTCTTAAATGTGTCAGTAATCCTTCTTGACATCATGCGATATCAGTGCTGAAGAAATTACTGTCAAGTCCACAAAATGTCCCACACTTTTACTGAATTTAGTTCCAGGTTACCATCTCATACCTGTTTTAACCTTGTTGTTGAAGTTAGGTGACTATTATTCCAGCCACTTATTAATCAATTTATTGATTATCACTGGAAACTATGTCTCCTCTCTCCTAGTATTGGCTGCTATGTGGATGGAGAAGTCGGCATAAGTCACGGAATTCTGGTCACCCTAGGCCCAATTTACTATTCCATTGTGGAACTGAAACTTAGTGTTGGAAAAGGACTTGTGCTAGACTGCTTGTTATTAAGCAGAAGATGTGGTCAGCCACTAGGGTTTTTTTTTTTTTCCATCCTGGTATATTGTAATTAATATTTGTGAAGATATTTGTATGTAAAGAAAGTAGCTAGTAAGTAAAGAGACAGCTGGGCAGGGGAGTGGAGAGAACAATCATAAAAATTGCCTTAAATGTAAGTATAGAATTATCAGGGTATTTAGTGAGAGACTCAAAATTCCGTTATGAAGTAGAGTGGGAGTTGGCAAACTTTTTCAGTCATGGGACAGATAGTAAATACTTTGGACATTGCCGGCCACATACTCAGTCCCAGTTTCTTTTTGTTTTTACAACTCTTTAAAAATGTAAAAGCCATTCTTACCTGCAGGTGTACAAAAAAAGGCTACAGGCTGTAATTTGGCCTCCTCTGAAGTAAAGCCTCATGCTGGCGGTATTTTAGATCCATGCTATGTTTTTATTTTAAATTAGCTTACGTTATTAAAACATTAAGGTGTTGATTTATTTAACGGGGTATAATTTATTAGAAAAATGCTTCACTTTAAAGCATGGGTTTAAAACAGCATTTTCAAAAGATAGTCCTTCTGCTAACTGCCTTCTCCTTCTTGCCCTACCCCTTGTATCTTCTCTGTTTATCTTAACCTCTCAAGATTGTAAGCTCCATGAGGACAGCAACTGTAATCTGTTTCACTTCTGCAGTGTCCAGGCACAAGGCCTTACACAATAGTGTGCTGTAAATATTTGTTAAATTGCTCTGTGTGCTCCAGAGGAATACTAAAAGGAGGTGTTATAGGGTGGGAATCATTTTAAATTACATTAAACATTTCTTTCTTTCGGTAGTTCTTTGGCAGTACCATCCCTGTTTTATAAATGAAGATTCTTAGGCTCAGGGAGGTTATGTAACTTACTTAGTAGTGGAGCCTGACTTGGAATCCAGGATTACCCACCTCCGAAGGCTTAGTTCCTTCTTCCATACAGTACCTTCTCAGGTATACAAGACAATCTCTGTAGCAAGTCATTTTTCAGAAAGTGACCTGTGTAGGTACACAACAGCAGTTTTCACTCACACACACACACACACACACACACACACACAATCCCACCACCATTCACACATTCAAGCAAAGTAGATGTTCTCTTGAATGATGTTAACATGGTGTTTAACTAGAACCATTAAAAGAAATATCTGCTTTTAAGCAAGGATTTGTGTCTCTTCAAATTATTTCTACTGGTTACTCTGTATGGTTTTTGTAGAGGTGTGTACACATTATTTTCCCATTTTTCTTACTTTTTTTTTTTTTTACCACTTTTTATTTCATTTTTAGTTCTGTCCCTTTACTAGAGCTCTTCAGGATCAGGCTTTGTTTTAACTTTAGTTCCTGTGCCTAACACAGTTCTTGCGGAATGAAGTGCAAACTTTAAGAAAATAAAGTGGGATCAAAACAGATTCCCTCATTTTCTGTGCAGTAGTTAAGGGGATTAGGTAGGGAATCTTTTTTTTGAGTGTTGAGTTAAAGTAACATTTACTAAAAGTAGGTGTTTGTTTTTTGGATTCTAAAGGTAATAGTCATTGTAAAACATGATTGTGTTGTTTTCTTGCCTATTAAGAATTCCCTTAAAGGACATAAAATTCTCCATTATTCCTTAAGAAACATGAGCCCAACTGCACATTTCATACAGTTCATGATAGAAATTTTGAAGGCTATATAGAATAAAAGTAGAGTTAGGCTGAGGAAGATCATCCACTCTGTTCATTCTGTGGCTATAGTAAGACCTATTTTTGATACATCGTTGGTCAGCTGTATACATGCAAGGAACTAGAAAAATCACGGGCAGATAGGTCCCTAAGTCTTCTCTTACAGCAGAATTCATATTATATTCAAACATGCAATAACATTTATCCTATGAAAATCATTCCCCTAACCTAATCTAGAGCATTAGAAGAAAAATGGACTAAGTATTGAAAACTGAGCCTAAATTTCAATCACGTTTTCCAATGAAGTTAATTCTGATCTACATTAGTTTTGTTAGAAGAAGGGGATTATAACAAGCAAGTCATTGTGAAATGTTTTCATGATTAGCACATTTTGTGCTGGAAGGAAATAGGTGGGAGTAGTCAACCAGGAGCCCTGGAAGCCAGCCTTAGCTCTGTCCCTACAGTGTTCCTTCCTGCAGTGGCTTCCAAAAGGAGGAAGGGAAAG